CTTCTTCTTCTTCTTCTTCTCCTTCTTCTTCTCCTCCTCCTCTCCTCCTCCTCTTCTTCTTCTTCTCCTTCTTCTTCTTTCTTCTTCTTCTTCTTCTTCTTCTTCTTCTTCTTCTTCTTCTTCTTCTTCTTCTTCTTCTTCTTCTCCTCCTTCTTCTCCTCCTCCTCCTCTCCTCCTTCTTCTTCTCCTCCTCCTTCCTCCCCTTCTTCTTCTTGCATTCTTTATTGCTGCACAAGGACTATACCAGTTGGCTTCTGCTTTTTCAAGCTTTTCCTTACAGTGAATTTGCTGCGATTACTGTGCAATATTGGGAAAAAAAAAAAAAAAAAAAAATTGCCTCTGAAATTTTAGATGCTCTTTTCTGCTGAAGTAGTAGTGGAGTTTGCGGTGGTGCAGTGTTGGTGGAAGCCCCTTGATATAAGACTATTATAAGTCCTTGTGTGCAGCCAGGCGAAGCATGTTGGGGAGTTTGCGCGTTATGAGCATCAATTTGTTTGAGGCCGTTGGTCGGTCGCGTTATCTCATTGGAGCGCTTCATGAGCATCAGTATGTCTGTCCATGCGGGAGCTGTGAACTCTGTTATTCTTTTGCATCGACGTGCAGCGATTGGCCTCACTATTCCTACATTCCTATTCTATAGCCACAAAAGGAATTGTACTCGTTGCCTTGTTATGCTGCTTTTTCACAGCCAGAAACGCAGCCAATTCATCGAAAGGAAACGCGTTTTTTCTTTTCCTATTCTATAGCCACAAACGGAATTGAAACGCAGCCAATTCATCGCAAGGGCCAATTCATCATAAGCAAACGCGTTTCCTTACGATGAATTGGCTGCAGTTAGAAAAAGAAAAAGGAAAGGACATTTCCTTTCCTCTGAAAATTTTTATCTTCTTTTCGGGTGAACCATGTAGTGGGAGTTGGTGCTACAACTTCCCTCAACCTTTTCTGTGGATAATAAAATAAACCAAAATCTTTGGATGATGGCTCCCTGATGGACGCAACCACCCTTCTGAGTCCTGACGCACAACCAAGTCACCTCTCCTTTTATTCATTTCCTCTGTTCATGAATAAAACAAAGAACCCCAGTGGGAAGAACGATCCTGTTCATTTCCTCTGTTCATGAATAAAACAAAGAACCCCTCGTACGATCCTGTCCTGGAAGCGAGGTACTCCTTTTTTCGCAGTGGACACTTTTTTCGTTCTTCCCAGGTTCCGGCGGAACACGAGTTGCTCGACATTCAAATTCTCCTTTGACTAGAGCGAGGTACTCGAAGCTTCAACAGCTTTTCGAGCGAGGTACTGTCAATAGTTCTGCCTGTGTAAGTGAGTGTAACCGTTCAGAAACTAGAGCGATTGGAAGCAGAGCGTGCTCAGTGGACTTAGTTTACGATCAATCCAGTGTTGATGTGTGTCCATTCGCCAAGGGAGCCATGCGTAAATTCGAGCGATTGGAAGCAGAGCGTGCTCGGTGGATTTGGTTTACGATCAGTCCAGTGTTGATGTGTGTCCATTCTCCATTCGTCAAAGCAGCTATATGCGTAGTTGAATTATCTATTGACCCATGTGACCGACCTTTGCAGTTCGAGTTCCAGACAGTACTTCACTTCGGACCATACTTGCGGCGCACCGGCACTGTGCGCTGCCCTGGGTCCGCTGTGCGCGGTGCGCTGCCCTGGGTCCGCTGTGCGCGGTGCGCTGCCCTGGGTCCGCTGTGCGCGGACCCAGGGTGCGCGTGCACCAGTGCGCGCCGCGCATCTGGGTGCGCAGTGTGCGCTGCGCTGTGCACATCTGGTGTGCTGCGCGCATGTGCGCAATGTATCTTTCCATGTTCTAGCGGTGGATTCATTTGATTTTGTTCTCTCTCTCTCTCTCTCTCTCTCTCTCTCTCTCTCTCTCTC